ATACTCCAATAAAGTTGTTAAAAATAAATAAATAAATAAAAGGTAATTAAAAAAAAGTATGTCACACTGTCACTATGTGCAAATGACATGATACTATACATAGATAATCCTAAAGATGTCACCAGAAAACTACTAGAGCTAATCAATGAATTTGGTAAAGTTGCAGGATACAAAATTAATGCACAGCTAATCTCTTGCATTCCTATACACTAACAACCAAAGATCAGAAAGAGAAATTAAGGAGACAATCCCATTCACCATTGCAACAAAAAGAATGAAATACTAGGAATAAACCTACCTAAGGAGGTAAAAGACCTGCACTCAGAAAACTATAAAACACTGATGAAAGAAATCAAAGATGACACAAACAGATGGAGAGATATACCATGTTCTTGGATTGGAAGAATCAATGTTGTGAAAATGACTATATTACCCAAAACAATCTACAGATTCAATGCAATCCCTATCAAATTACCAATGGCATTTTTTACAGAACTAGAACAAAAAAATCTTAAAATTTGTATGGAGACAGAAAAGACCCCAAATAGCCAAAGCAGTCTTGAGGGAAAGAAATGAAGCTGGAGGAATCAGACTCCTTGACTTCAGACTATACTAGAAAGCTACAGTAATCAAGACAATATGGTACTCACACAAAAACAGATATATAGATCAATGGAACAGGATAGAAAGCCCATAGATAAAGCCACGCACCTATGGTCAACTAGTCTATGACAAAGGAGACAAGAATATACAATGGAGAAAAGACAGTCTCTTCAGTAAGTGGTGCTGGGAAAACTGGACAGCTAAATGTAAAAGAATGAAATTAGAACAGTCCCTAACACCATACACAAAAATAGACTCAAAATGGATTAAAGGCCTAAATGTAAGATCAGACACTATAAAACTCTTAGAGGAAACATAGGAAGAAGACTCTTTGACATAAAGCACAGCAAGATCTTTTTTGACCCACCTCCTAGAGTAATGGAAATAAAAATAAACAAACGGGACCTAGTGAACCTTAAAAGCTTTTGCACAGCAAAGGAAACTATAAACAAGACGAAAAGACAACCTTCAAAATGGGAGAAAATATTTGCAAATGAATCAATGGACAAAGGATTAATCTCCAAAATATATAAACCGCTCATGCAGCTCAATATTAAAAAAACAAACAACCCAATCAAAAAATGGGCAGAAGAACTAAATAGACATTTCTCCAAAGAAGACATACAGATGGCCAAGAGGCGCATGAAAGCTGCTCAACATCACTAATTATTAGAGAAATGCAAATCAAAAGTACAATGAGGTATCACCTCACACCATTCAGAATGGGCATCATCCGAAAATCTACAAACAAAAAATGCTGGAGAAGGTGTGGAGAAAAGGGAGCCGTCTTGCACTATTGGTAGGAATGTAAATTGATACAGCCACTATGGAGAACAGTATGAAGGTTCCTTAAAAAACTGGAAATAGAATTACCATATGACCCAGCAATCCCACTACTGGGCATATACCCGGAGAAAACCATAATTCAAAAAGACACATGCACACCAGGGTTCATTGCAGCACTATTTACAATAATCAGGTCATGGAAGCAATGTAAACGCCCATCGACAGACGAATGGATAAAGAAGATTTTGTACATATATACAATGGAATAGTACTCAGCCATAAAAAGGAATGAAATTGGGTCATTTGTAGAGACGTGGATGGACCTAGAGACTGTCATACAGAGTGATGTAAGTCAGAAAGAGAAAAACAAATATCATATATTAATACATATATGTGGAATCTAGGAAAATGGTACAGATGAACAAGTTTGCAAGGCAGAAATAGAGACACAGATGTAGAGAACAAACGTATGGACACCAAGGTGGGAAAATGGGGTGGGGGGAGAGTGGTGGTGGTGATGGTGGGATGAATTGGGTGATTGGATTGACATATATACACTAATATGTATAAAATCAATAACAAATAAGAAGCTGCTGTATAAAAAAATAATAAAATTTTAAAAAGAAAGTCAGGATATCAATTTTAATATGATAAAATAAAATTAAAGGCATAAATTAATTTTTTAAATTAATTTATTTTATGGCTGCATTGGGTCTTCATTGCTGCACGCAGGCTTTCTCTAGTTGCGGAGAATGGGGGCTACTCTTCGTTTCGGTAAGCAGGCTTCTCATCACAGTGGCTTCTCTTGTTGCAGAGCATGAGCTGTAGGCACGCGGGCTTCCATAGTTGTGGCTTGCGGGCTATAGAGCGCAGGCTCTGTAGTTGTGGAGCACAGGTTTAGTTGCTCTGTGGGATGTGAGATCTTCCCAGATCAGAGCTTGAACCCGTGTCCCCTGCATTGGCAGGTGGATTCTTAACCACTGCACCACCAGGGAAGTTCCTAAAGGCATAAATTTATGAGACAAAGAGAAACCCTTCATAAAAGAAAGATATTAAGATGATGAAATAATTATAAAAAGATACACACCTAAAAATATAACCTCAAAATAGTTAAAACAAGAATGGCAGAACTATGAAGACAAATCTGTACAACTATTGTAATTAGAAAGCTAAACTCTATTATATATTGGGTTAAAATGAGAGACTTATTTCTCTTTGATAGGTCAAATAAATGAAAAATAAGAAAATATATAAAAGTTTGGTTTACATGATCTATAATCTTGAATACATTGGCGGCAGTGGTGAAGAAAGTGAGCTTTAAAATCAGTAGAAAAATCCATTTCTTCCAAACAAATGTGATGTTCACATATACTAGGTCATCAAGGAAGCCTCATTAAGTCAAACTATCTATCTAACTTTAATGCTGTATAGTTTGGAATCTGTACTAAAGTGAAAACTAAAGTACTGTACATGTTTGAAAAGAATTACAAACTATTACATTCTCTTTGGATTGAAGAGGGCATTTTTACAGGGATTAAAAATACTTTGATCTGAACAGCAATAAATACCATGTTAACATTTGTGGGGTACAGCTAAAGTAGTACTATGAGATAAATTCATAGCTTTAAGTACATTAGAAAACAATAAATATTGAAAATAAGCCAAATAAGCTCAAAAATGAGAATAAAAGTCAATGAAATAGAGAATAGCAATCTAAAAACAATACCAAAAAAAATTAAAGCTAAAAGCTGACTTTGAAAGGACCATTTAAGATGCATAAAATTGATTAGTAAAAAGAGTAAGATGCAAATAAGATACAGAGTGAAGAAGGAGATATGATGACTGTCACAACATATTCATAAAAATAATAAAATAGTATTATTAACTATATGCTAATACTTTAGAAAACTTAGACAAAATGGATAAATTCTTGGAAAAATAAAGAATACCAAATTTGGCAAAATAATTGAATAAACCAATATGCATTAAAGAGAGTAATAAGCAAGTTCTTTTGCTGAACAACCAGTCGTAATAAAAATTATATGTTTAATTCCCTCTCATCAGACTCTGTTTTAAAAAACATATATTTGTAAATAGATTTCCCCATTAAAGTCTTTATTGTTGTTCTTCTTCCTATGGGACCAACTATAGCTCACATGAGAGCTCTGGGGGAGAAATTCTGAATAAAATAAATTTGGGGTTCAAATACAAATTTTAACATGTGTGAGATATAATGCATGTGTCTGACACTTAATAAAACTCTCTAAATTTTGTAAAAAAAAAAAAACAAAAGATATTTGAATAGTAATAAAAGATACCCTCTCCTTCTTCACCAGAACTTCAAACTCAGTTTTACAAGAGAGTATTAATGAGCTTTCAAGCAACAGATAATCCTGACCTTACAAACCTGCTGCAAAAAAATAGAAAAAAGAGAAGGACTCCTTAATTCACTTTATATCGATCTGGTTAGTATAACCATGGTTCAGCAAATTATAGTTCTGTTTGGTTTACGAGTTTTAATGCAAAAATCTTAAATGAAATACTAACTTACTGAATCCAACAGTCTATTAAAAATAATGTAACATGATCAAGTTAAGCAATGCAAGGATGGTATAATATTAGAAATTTAATTAATGTAATTTACCTCTATAATGGAATGAAGATTAAAGGAATGTGTCTATCTCAGTAGATACAGAAACAAATCATTTAATAAATTTCAAAACATTTCTGATAAAAACTAAAATAGCCTTCTTAAAGGCTGCAACAAACATTGTGCTTAAATGGGGAAATTTCTAAGCATTTCATATAATATGGGAATAACATAAGAATGCCCACCTTCATGGCTAGTATTTAATGTATACCGGAGGTCCTAGCCAACCAATTAACATAGAAAATAAATAAAATGTATAACTGATGAAAGGGAGGAGAACAAAATTCTATCATTTATAGCTGACAAAATCATTTACATGGAATTTACAATCTAATTTACAATAGAATCAACAGATAAACCGGTAGATCTAATCAGAGCATAAACAGTTTGCTACTGCTATAGTCTACAGGGAACTCTACTCAATGCTCTGTGGTGACCTAAATAGGAAGGAAATCCAAAAAAGAGGGGCTATATGTATACATATAGCTGATTTGCTTTGCTGTACAGCTGAAACTAACACAACACTGTAAAGCAACTATACCCCAATTTAAAAAAAACTAAAGGGAAACCTCAAATCAAAAGAAAAAAAGAAATGTAATAAAACATATGACTTAAATTTATAACAACTAAAAATAGTTAGCAATTAAACTAACAGAATATACAAGACTTCTGTAATGAAAACTTATGATTGCATTAAAGACCAAAAAAGATGGCCTGACAAAATAGATGTAGCATGTTTATGCATGGGAAAACATCACAAGAATATCAGTTCTCCCCTAATTACTGTACAAATTCATTGCAACTTTACACAAAATTCCAGGAAGATGTTTTGAGAAACTTATTTATTCTAAAATGTATGTGGAGGAATCAAGGTCCACAAACAGCTAAATTGGTTTTAAAACATAAGAGAGAGTGCTTATCCTACCAGACAATTAAAAGCCAGAGTATTAGAACAGTTGTGATATAAAGGAGATGCCATAAGTCAGAGGGGGGAAAATGAATTATTAAGCGGGTTGAAATCAGAAAACCACTTAAATATATATGGAAAAATACAAAGCTGGATTCTTACCTCTCACTATGAACAAATGTTAACCCCAGATTAATCATTTAGTCAATAAATATTTATTGAGCATCTACTATGGGTGAAGGACTTTTCTAGACACTGGATATATGCCAGTGAAAAAGGCAAAAGTCCTTGCCATCTTTAAAACCCTAACTGCAGAGTGTAAAAGTATAAAGTCAGTAGAAGAAAATGTAGGATAATTTTTTTTTCCACGATCTTGGAGTGGGGAAGGGCTTGTAAAACAAGGATCAAAAAGCACAAAGCATAAGGCAAAAAACACTTAATGGGCTTGATTACATCATAATTAAATCTGATTACACTTTATGACCCACGCATATAATCCAGAGGAAGTCTCTTACACTTGCATAGAGAGACTTGCTCAAGTTTGCTCATCACAGTGTTGTTCCTGATAGCAGGGAGTTGGAACCAACTTAGATATCTCTATCTCTAGAGGGAAGAAAAATGTGGTGGATGCACGCTGTGGAATACCATGCATCAGTTAGAGGCACTGGGTTGGATGTACACTCAACAATATGGAATAGAACTAAACATACTATTGAGTGAAAAAAAGTAATAACAGAATTGGAGCAATAGCACCATATCATGCAGGTAAATATAAAAGATGTATAGAGTCACAACCAATTCTGTATATTCTACAAGGGTTCATACGTACCAAGGGCATGTATCAAATAGTACAGAGCTGGTTCCATTGAAATGGGAATTAGGGATGAAGGGAAGAAAAATGAAATAAAACAAGAGTCTTGTATGGTTTGATGGTGGTAATGAGTTATGAACAAAGGAATGTGATTACTCTCCATGCCTAAGTCACTTGGACCACAGCGGAGGGAGGACTGTTTGAATGTAGGATAGCTCCAGTGGGTTCAGAGTTCTTTCTTATATTTGGCTAAAACTGCCCTCCTATAAACACCCAGCCATTGGTCTGAGTTCCGCTGTCTGGCATTGTACCCAGTGAATCTTCAGGCTCTTTCACAGAACAGCACTTCAAACCCTTGAAACGACTGCTTTAGTTTAAGTTTTCCCTCATCCAGGCCCACATACTCAGAACTTTCAGCTGTTCTTCATATGACCTGTTCAGGCTCTTCTAAATTTCAGGGAACTATAGCATGACATCCACATTAGCTATTAAATGTGGCTTGCTCGTTTGAAAACTATGCTGAAAACCCACTGGGACCAAGCATCGTGTAAGGTGCTACGCATAGATGCTCAGAAAAAAGGAGATCACTTCCATGAGAGTTATAACTGAAAGGTCTTGAATTAATAGTCATGTTCTACTGGATTTTGAAATGTATAAAGTTCAAACAAATCTCTGCTATCCAGAATAAGTGGCCACATTTTATGTATATTGATTTATTCAGTCATTTATTTAAGAAATAGTCACTGAATATATTTTCTGTGCCAAGGCTTGCTGCAGGCTCTGAAAACTGGAACATGCTTCTTTGTACCATGCAGAAAGGATCAAAGACCCAGGACCCTGGAGAGCAGGTTTGCTGTGGTGTCCTTTACCGAACCAACCAGAAGGATTTGGCCCCCTCAGCTCTCTGAATATGGCTACAGTGCACTTCTTCTCTACTATGGTTTGCTGTGACCCAAAAGTCAGAACGGCTCGTGCTTTGGGGTTCCAGCCACAATGTCTGCTCGTGTTTCCTAGAGATCTAAGTTCCTCTCTTTAATAACTTTAAAAGGTAAGGCTAGTGGGGTGAAATGAATCACTACGGTTTGAAGATGGGTGATAGAATGGGCATAGAATTTGGTACATTCCACACTGATCAGGTCTTAACTCTGCTGGGGCATTGTGTACCCTTCTGCTTAGCCACTTGTTTTATAGATGAAGAAACAGAGAAAGAGGAAGAGGTTGGTCTGCAGTCACAGAGCCAGGACTGGAACTCAGGCTCCTAACTAGCAGCCAGCGCTCTCTCTTCTCTCCCCTCTGGTCACGTGGGTGAAAGGGGGACGTCAACTGTGATGTAGTGGTGGCACCTTTAACAAGTCAAGGAGAATAGGTTCAGGCTGTCCTATTGCAAGAAAGAAGAGTGAGAGGGGAAAAGGAGTTTCGAAGCTGCTCAAGGTATATGCACGGGAGGCGGGGCAGGGGGAGTGATTTCTCTGAGACTGGTGGACAGTCACTCACACCAGGAGAGTCTAAATTGTCCGCTAGAGTTTGGCCTTACAGACCTACACCTGCAGGAGAAGCAGGGTCACTGGTGAGAGCTATCAGCCCACCTCTTCTATAAGTGCTTTGTCCAGTCTCCTTATCTTCAAGGCAAGACAGCCACATAATCGCTGTTACTGTTCTCTGGGGAAAAAAAAGCAGAAGACCAGCCATGAGGCTCAACACCCAGGAGTCACACTGACCCACACCAGTCAAGGGAAAGACTTCTCCCCAGGCAGAGGGCGATCTGATGCCACATCAAAGTGACACCTTCAAGGGCTGGGGTACCACAGGGAGCTCTCCTGGCAAAAGAGGGGGTCTGTTTATAAGTCGAACATCAGAGTTTCCAGGACCAGATGCCTCCACTCACCAGCAGAACACCTGCGCCTTCCTCAGAGTGAGAACACCTAAGGCTTGTTCTAAGGAGGCCAAGGGAAAGGGAGGAAGAAGATGAGCTAATGGGAGGAAGTTCCCACTTCGGGAGCTGAGGATTTGGGAGCTTGCTCTGCCAAGGCTGGCCAAGCATGGACAACTGGTACGGCGAGACTCTCACCCAGTTCTTGGGGACGAATTCCTGTTGGAATTTGTGGTTATTTTATCATCGCTGAGACAAATACTACCGCCACCCCAAGCATCCTGAGCAACCCATCTGGGTTTGCCTGAGGACTGCAGCACAGGTACATCCCTGGGCTTCTACTCTGCCCCATTTTATTCTTCTACGTGCTGTGGAGGGTTCAGGGAAGACCGAACCATGTTTTAAAACCTAGTTGGGAACAGGAACCACACCTTCAAACTCTATAAGTTATGGTAGAAAATGGCCGTGGGACTACAGCTGCAGCTGAACCTATAGGAAGCGGGTGCATGGGTCGCTTCTTCTCTGGGTGCACACTCCTCTATGTGGGGGAAGGGGGACAGAGAAAATGGTAGAGGAGGGTTTTGGGTTTTTCTTTTTCCATAATTAAAAAGGCACGCTTAGTCTTGTTGGGGAGGTGAGAAGTTTGCTCTGGCAGTCTAAAGGGAAACTTTGCTATAGACAGAGTACAATGGGTGTGGGGTGATTGCAGGCTCCCCAGAACTCTCTGTCCTCCGCCCTTCTCCCTAGCTAGCACTTCTGGTCCCATCCCCATCACCTACCCACTGATGACTGAAATCCCTTTCATGGGGCTATCACCACACATCCCACCTTGAGAAGACAGGGTTAAACTGTAAATGTCTCAGGAAGTCTGAGTTAAATTCGAACTACGTTGTAACTGACAGATGCTAGATTCTCTTCTGAGAGCAGACTTGCAGGGATGTAAGCAAGAGTAGCTGCTTGGGATATGATCTGGATTCTCCTCACTCAGATTTACGGACCATCTCTCCTTTTCCACCATGGCTTAATAACTTTTGGGGTGTATCTGAAATAAGTATTCCCCTAACACTATATAAATGAATGCTTAGCAAATATGGAGCAAAATGTAACAGGATGAGGCTTGGGGAGAGGGTTGAAGCAATTTTCTCATTTGAAAATTCTGCTTGTTGGCCATCTATTCCCAAACCTGTGTTGTTTGCACAAGGTCACAGAATGAGTCTGAAGTCAGCTCTTGGAGAATGTTCAGGGGCCACTCTTCCTCCCCGGGCTGTCCAAGCACAGAGAGCTCTATGTGTTTGCCACCTCCAGGAGCTCGAAGTCACCACTTCCCAACAAAATGGAAAGTGCTCTTCATAGGATGAAGCTTTTTAAAGCTAACATCCTAGAAAGGGGCAATTATCTGTATCAGTTCTGCAAAGTAGCCCAGTGGTGGAAATGGGACTAAGGTTCCTGTCTGGCACCCGTGTGAACGTTTTTTTCCCATAAATACCATCCAGCTGTATCTTCGATCTTCTCCATCTCAGGGAGGGACAGGTTCTCTTTATTGGCCTTAAAAGGTGAACCACCAGCCCTTGATTTGGTTTTTCAAACTTGGAGATCAGTTCCTCTAGGTTTGGAAAGGTCTGTCTTTGAGCGCCTTCCACGGTCTGCAAAAATGCAAGATCACTCATCATTGTGCAATTGTGTGTGAAAGATGACACTTCTCAAAACAGTGGTTTTCAGGGCTGCCGCTGAGCGGTGAATTGAAAACAGGTGGCCGACACTTGTGTGGGAGCTCACACCATACGCAATAACCAGAAACCCTCCTTTTTAAAATGGAATTCTGACTTGAGCTACTCTGAATAAAGAAGATGAACAATCAAAGGTCCCCACCTCAGTCTGCAGTATCGAATGAGCCCCCATTCTTGGCAATTTGGGGACAGTTCTTGTAGGTACACTGTGGAGGGTACCCATCTAAGAGCTTATGTCAGAGTGAGGGGGACTAATACGGGAGGACTTCTGATGGGAAATGCAAAATATGCAACTTACATACTTGATGAATTCAGACTCTCCAGGAGAGCAAAACAAGACAAAAAGTCCCGATTTAAATTGAAAATGGGAATGTCAACATGACTCAGGTAAATTGTGAATAGTTGTTTTCTCTTTACCACCTACAAACCAAGTACAATTTTCTAATATAATCTTATAGAAATAATTTTAAAACACAAGAGCTTCCTTGGCTCTTATGTATTTGATTTTCTTAATGATCACTGTGGTTCTCTTAGGACCACAGTGTTGGTCTACAGAGGAGTGGTGACAGGAAGGATCTGTGACCTGGGGTGTAGTTAACCTCCATGACAGAGATGCAGGCTGACATGGAAGAGGGCTCTACGAAAGGCTGTCACTTCAGCCCAAGGTAGCATCCAGCACAGGCCCTGATACAGAGCTGCTGTATGAAATGCCCCTCTGTGTCAATGAAATGCCCCTCTGTGTCTGTTATAACCGACTTGGATGCCTCTCTGTTTTGTTCAGACAAGAGACAAAATGGGGTATTAAGGAATTATCCAGAATTTCCCAAAATATGCACAACAAAGAAATAAATGTTTTAAAATAGGTTGCTTTCAAAGCTGCAAAAATATTTTTTAAATTTCCATATATAACCTTCACCCATACCCCAAATGTTAAAATTTTATTTGCCTTTCATTCTCTCTCTTTCTAAATATATATGTGTGTGTATATATGTATACATATATGTATTCTTTTTTAAAAAAAATTATGAGAGTAAGTTGCTGACATGATATCCCTTTGACCCTAAATACTTCATATTTCCTAAAAAGCAAGAACATTACATATCCACACTAAAATGAGGAAATTAATCGTTTTTTTTTTTTCAGGTACATTTCTAACTAAATGAACAGACCTGACCAAAGACAGTTTAGAATATCAATGGCCATTATAGGGAACTTTTTTTTAAACATCTTTATTAGAGTATAATTCCTTTACAATGGTGTGCTAGTTTCTGCTTTATAACAAAGTGAAGCAACTATACATATACATATATCCCCATATCTCCTCCCTTTTGTGTCTCCCTCCAACCCTCCCTATGAGGAAATTAATCTTGATGCAATACTATTACTAATCTACAGACCTGATGCAGATTTTGTCAATTGCCTCAATAATGTCCTTTGTGGCAAAAGAAAAATTACATATATGTGTGTGTGTGTGTGTGTGTGTGTGTGTGTGTGTGTCTGGGGATCATTGTATATTCTAATCTCTTTCAGACAGTCACAGTGAACTTTAGCATATTAAAGATTCTGAGAAATCCTGCAGTAAAAAAGTCTGCTTAACATTTATGCAAGTGTTTCAGAAAGATTAGTTCAGGAGTCTATGTTAGTAATTAAAGATTCAATGACATTTATTATACTCTATTTCCTACCAGAGAAGTAACTTAAAAAAAAAAAAAAAAAGGTTTTTCTGCTTAGCTCTCAGTAAACCAGAAGCATTAAAGAAATCCCTAAATTGCCAGTTGACTGATGCTCCCCTTTGCATTTTCATACAGCTATGGTGTCCCCGAATGTCGACTTCTTAAACATTCGGACCTCTCCCCACCTTCCCTTTCCACTCATCCTGTTCGTTGTTTAGTCTTATAATTTGACGGTAGTCTTATATGGAGTTCAGGTTGGTATATTTGACCCCTGGAGGAACTTTGTGCCTCTACACTTTTGAACAACAGCCTTGTTTTTCTTGAAAATGGAACCCAACTCTAGTGCATTCCTATTTCTCTGAAAGAAAGACAAGGTAAACTACTGATCTGATTCTAACTCTCCGCAGTGCTTCCCTGTTTAGAATGCCTCTTCATGGCATCTCAGGTTCAAGAGATGTTCTCAGGTTTTACTCCCCCCAGCTTGTGTTGTTTTTGTTATAGGAGTTCTTGTATGTTCTTACCTGTATATTGTAATACCCATGTTTCTCTTTGAAGATTCGGTATGTGTAGACCAACTTTTTAAACCTGTGGAAAGATGACTGTGTGAATCACAATGTTCTTATATGCAAATCCAGGTAATATCTACCACTGTATTTTGTGTGCAATGGCTTTGTCAATCTTGGATCCCAAAAAGAAACTGATCATTTTCAGACCTTCTCATCTGTGGGAATTTGAAAGAGAGGTTTTAAAATGGAGACCTTTATTCTATGGTGGAAGTCTGGGCTGTAGCAAAGAGAATAAGGAGAGAAATTTTACAGTTTCCATTGTCTTGGTATTTCTCTCTAGTTTTTTCACTTAGCCCTAAGTTGATACAACATACAAAACACCATCAAGCCATTCCTGTGTTGTTTATTAAGTGACAGGTCATTGACCTCATTAGAGATAGTTAATGTAACTAAAATAGAGAAGGTTGGGAATTTTGTGCAAGGAAGTGATGTATTGTGCTCTTTTTCCTCACTGGAACAGGAGCCACTGGGTAAGTAATCTAACTAGAATTTAGATAACAGACTCAATTGAGCAATTTCCAAAACAGGAAATAGCATACATTACCATATTTCCTCAATTCCAAGATGTCATCAATTGTAGGATACAGTCAATTTAGTAGTAGCTTTTGAGGAGAAAAATGCATACATTAAATGTCTCTATCAACTGTTAACTATGTTCTGATTCCAAAGAAATATTAAAATGTAAAAAATGAGGATAAAAAACATTGACATGAAGTTCAAATTATCTGACTGATCACTCCTCACCCCTTCACTTGCACCCATGCCAAAGAATCAGATGACCCATCTTTTGACTGAATTGGGAAGGCAGATAGCTATAGCTTTAAGGTACAGGAGACGTCATTGCTGATCGTCTGGTGGCTTTGACAATGGACTTCAAATCCCAATCCTTTTTGTGGGGTTTCCTGAGGCCAGAAGAAGCTAGTGGGTGTCTTTAAATCACATGACAAGCAACAAAAAGGTTTCACATGAATCCTTGTCTATATGTGACAAATTAAAGTATTCCACAGTCTGGGAAGAGGTCTCACAAGTGTCTTTTCACAGAAGTATTATTCAAATCGGGATCCAAACAAGGTCCATACATTGCTTTTGGTTGCTCACATGGTTTCTTGAAACTCAACTATCATATAGCCTAAGTTAAATTCTTAAATAAATGACTTTATGTTTAATTACATTGTTGTATTATCAGCCTAAGAAAATCTTTACTAGAGGAGTTTGAAAGAATAAAACAAATGGAGGTTCTATATTAATTAATCCAAAAGCCACATACCTCAAGTTAGAAAGACTGACATTGCTCAAATATAGTCTTATTCTTTGCAAAGTATTTTTAATGAAATAAGCCACATTGCAGTGATGCTTTACAAGAAATTGATTTACTGAACTTGTGATACCTATATGCATTTATTTTGGAATGTTTACCCCCAAAAATGCTGTAAGAGATTACAGAGCAGTGAGATTAGTATCCACTTTATACAATTGCAATATTATTGGGTCGACATAAAGACTTATTGTAATGCCTCCTATTCTAATTATTATTTTATAGATGCCACTTATAAAACTTTTAAAAGATACATGATTTTTCAGTGTGCATTTACACTCAAGGCAGTTATAAAGACCATGTTTCCCCTGGGCCTTCGGCCCCTGTCACCACGGTGACGAGGGAGCCCCTCTTTATCCCCCAACACTCACAGTCTTGTCTCTACCCTCTGCCTGGAATCCACTGGGCTAATCTCATCATGCCCTTTATCCCTGTTTGTTAGTCATTGCAAAAAGCCCAGTCTCTCAGGATATCTTTTCTCCTGTTTTCTAATCCTACAAGGCTCTGTACAGCCTGTATTGTGTCTTCTCCCCAGCTCCTGAAATCCTTCCTTGTGTTCTCTAGCACTCAAGGTTTGCCATCATCAAAGTCTCCTATGTCTTCAACCTATTCTCTAATCATCCCTGTCACCTTCTCACTCTAAGGGAAACCTGGCTCTGTCTCACGGACACTGCTTCCCCGGGACCCCACTAAAAGGCTGCTGCTCTCTCCTCACTGCGGGCCTGGAGGGGAGGCCCGTGTTCTTGCTTTTGCAGCTCTTCAATGTTGTCTCCTGTCTCCAAACCCTCAGCTTTGAGCTTCATGTAGATTATATCACCTCCTACCCAATCAAGATGTCACTATGCTGACAGCTCCTCAGCTCTGTGTTACTGCGACTCGTTTCTCCAGGATTTAGCTCCTAGCTCACTGTCACTGTCTTCAGTACTATTCCTGACTAAATTGTTGGCAATTTCAATTCACATGTAGATTATCCTTTAACATCCCAATTTCTCAGTTCCTCTAATTCCTCTCCTTCAATAATCTTGTCTTCCACCTACATCGCCTTCTCACTCCCATGTTCATAACCAGGACTGGCTACATAATTTGTGGGGCCCATAGAAAAAATGAAAATTTAACACCCCTCTTAAAAAATTACTAGGAATTTTGAGATGGTGACAGCAGAACAGTAAACCAAGTGCAGGGCCCTCTGAGTGTAGGGCCTTTGGTGGCTGCATAAGGTTGCATGCCACGAAGCCAGCCCCACTCATAACTTTGACCTTGTAATTGCCAATATGGGCAACCCTCTCATAATGTGAATTTCATGCATCCCACTCTCTTTCTCCTGCTTCCCGTCTTTCCAGATCCCTTCCCCAACATTCCCTTGACCCCATAGACTTTCCAATCCATTGATCCTACCACTTTTCAGTGTTCTCACTCATGTGTCTTCACTCCCTTCTTTACCCAGTTTAGATTGCTTGTCAACCATTACAATCACTCCCTTCAACTCCTTTATCATCTTTCACTTTATTTCCTTAATTAGCAGAATCCTGATTAAGCCCAAATCTCTACAGCTGTATGTGGCTGGGAGACAGCCACGTTCACTGTTCTCTCTTTTTTTTTTTTTTAAATTTTTTTTAATTTATTTAATTTTTGTCTGTGTTGGGTCTTCGCTTCTGCACAACGGCTTTCTCTAGTTGTGGCGAGCGGGGGCCACTCTTCATCGCGGTGCGCAGGCCTCTCACTGTCATGGCCTCTCCCGTTGCAGAGCACAGGCTCCAGACGCGCAGGCTCAGTAGTTGTGGCTCACGGGCCCAGTTGCTCCGCGGCATGTGGGATCTTCCCAGACCAGGGCTCGAACCCATGTCCCCTGCATTAGCAGGCAGATTCTCAACCACTGCGCCACCAGGGAAGCCCACTGTTCTCTCTTTAAATGACCACAAACCTCAAGTAGGCTCTTAATGCCTCCAGGTGACCATTGATTTTCCTATTCTCCTCAACAATGATTCTACACCATTTCCTTTCTTCTTAAACCTTCAACGTCTCATTCTTAACTGATGATTTCACCAAAAAGATTAAAACAATCAGAAGAGAATCTCCAGATTCCCATCACCCTAATAGCATAATAGCATCTACATGCATAGACTCTGCCTTTATTACCGTGGTTGAACTTTGCATGCTGCTCTGCAAAGCTAATCCCTCTTATTTCCACTGGTTGCCATCTGCTTTCATCTATTCAAGGACATAATTCTAGCAATTTTTCCTCTCTCTCTGATGTCATTATTATTCTTTACAAAACAGCCAGGGTGCTCCTTTTAAAAACTGTGAGTCAGATCATGTCACTCCTCTGCATAAATATCTGGTCTAGTCAATTTTGAAAAAGAAAAACCTGGTGTGTGTGTGTGTGTGTGTGTGTGTGTGTGTGTGTGTGTGTGTGCACTCAGTGCGGTGCTTCTGTCTTAACAAGTCTTATGTCTTCTTATAAAGCTATAATCAAGATAGTGAGAGTGAAGTAAGTCAGAAAGAGAAAAACAAGTACTGTATGCTAACTCATGTATATGGAATCTAAAAAAAAACAGTACTGATGAACCTAGTGGCAGGGCAGGAATAAAGATGCAGACATAGAGAATGGACTTGAGGACGCGGGGAGCGGGGAAGGGAAGTTGGGGCGAAGTGAGAGTAGCATTGACATATATACACTACCAAATGTAAAATAGATAGCCAGGGGACCTTCAAGATGGCGGAGGAGTAAGATGTGGATATCACCTTCCTCCCCACAAATATAACAAAAATACATCTACATGTGGAACAGCTCCTACAGAACACCTACTGAACGCTGGCAGAAGACCTCCGACTTCCCAAAAGGCAAGAAAATCCCCACATACTTGGGTAGGGCAAAAGAAAAAAGAAAAAACAGAGATAAAGGAATAAGGATGGGAGGGAGCTGTGAAGTAGGAAAAGTTTCCACATAATAGGAAGCCCCTTCACTGGTGGAGACAGGGGATGGGCGGCGGGGGGAAGCTTCAGAGCCACAGAGGAGAGCAAAGCAACAGGAGTGCAGAGGGCAAAGCGGAGAGCTTCCCTCACAGAGGATCAGAGCCAACCAGCACTCACCAGCCTGAGAGGCTTTTCTGCTTACCTGCTGGGGTGGGCGGGGGCTGCGAGCTGAGGCTCAGGCTTCAGAGGTGAGATCCCAGGGAGAGGGCTGGGGTTGGCTGCATGAACACAGCCTGAAGGGGGCTAGTGTGCCACAGCTAGCCAGGAGAGAGTCTGGGAAAAAGTGTGGACCTGCCTAAGAGCCAAGAGACCATTGTTTCGGGGTGCATGAGGAGAGGGGATGCAGAGCACCACCTAAATGAGCTCCAGAGACGGGTGTGAGCTGAAGCTATCAGCTCGGACCCCAGAGACAGGAATGAAATGCTAAGGCTGCTGCTGCAGCCACCAAGAAGCCTGTGTGCAAGCACAGGTCACTATCCATACCCCCCCCAGGAGCCTGAGCAACAAACCACTGCCAGAGTTCTGTGATCCAGGGACTGGTTCCCCGGGAGAACACATGGTGTGCCTCAGGCTGTTGCAATGTCACACCAGCCTCTGCCACCGCAGGCTCGCCCCACATTCCAATAGTAACTACCGTACCCCTCCCTCCCCCCAGCCTGAGTGAGCAAGAGCCCCCTAATCAGCCTCTGCTTTAACCCTGTACTCTCTGGGTGGGAACAGATGCCTAAGGG